GGATCTTTTTGCCGCAGAGCCACAGGCTGTGGCGGCCGTGCCACTCTCAACGACCCCGTCCTGCCTCGGTGGGCCCAGCCAGGGCCCCGTCTGCTCCCTCTCCTCCCCTCCTCGGCCACCGGCCTCCCTGCCAGACTGGGGTCAGAGGATACTCACTTACTGAGGCCCAGCCAGGTGCCAGCCTGTGCTGGGGGCGTGCCACCCCGGCAGCGCACTGTGCAGTGAGGGTCCGCAGCCCTAGCTCACGGATAGGGAACTGAGGCCTGCGCAGGAAGCGGGTGTCCAGCCCAGCACTTTCTGTTTCCCGCATGGCTGCCCCTTAAGTCGAGGCCTGGGTTGAGGCTGAGGGGCCCGCTGCAGGACCAAGGGCAAGGGGTTTTGTGCCACAGAGGCAAGAAGGCAGCCTGCTGTGAGGGGCCTGCAGGAGCCAGCCCAGAGGCGGGGTGTGGTCTGCCGGTGTGGGCATGAAGAGTGCAGGACAGGGAGGGCAGAAGCCAGGCTGCTCAGGGGTGCCCCCTCCGAGGACACAGGTGAGACCTGGCTGCCCAGGGCTGGGCCAGGCTCTGTCAGCCACCCAGCTCCGTGGGCGTTTGGCTTGCAAATGAGATGGATTGGAGGGGGCTGGGCAGTGGGTGGGCAGGGCAGACATGTCCGGGGGGCTTTGCACCAGGGGACTTGGCTCTGGGGCTCCCCAGATCGCTCTCCACTTGGTCCCCAGCTTAGATACCGGGGTGGGGGTGGGGAGGCACTGAGATCCAGGAGTGTGCACCTCTGCCAGGACACTGGTCAGGATGGCAGGGGCTGGGCTTCTGGTCCCCCAGGTAGGTCTGACCAGGCCCCTCGGGGAATGAGTCAGGGTAGCGACGCACTGTGGAAGACTCCCAGCAGGCCTAGTTTGGGTATTTGCTCTCGGGGTGGGGCCGGCAGGTGACACCTGGTTATGGGTCACCCAGTTACCAGGGAGGCTCAGCCCTGCCTGCTCTCTCCCTTGGGGTCAGCCATGCTCCCCTTCAGGGGCTGGCCTCGCTCTGACGATGGCCAGGGAGGATCCTGCCTCTGAACATGGATTCCAGGGTAGTGGAAGGGGACCTGGTTTCAAGCCCAACTGTCGAGTGCAGGGGCTTTTTAATTTAAACCGCACCCCTTGTGGATGGGAGGAGGAAGAGATGGGATGGGCACCCAGGAAGAGGACAGAGGCCCGAGCTCTCATAACGATGTCACCCCATTTGGGAGCAGCCAGAGGGGGGCAGGAGCCCGGAGCCCGGGAGCTGCCGTGTGAGCTCAGGCAGCCTGTGCCGGCCCAGCCTCTTGTGCTGTTGACATGTGAAATGGCCCCTGAATCTGAGGGCCCTGTGGCTTCTGTAGACTGAGTCCCGAGGCTGGCATAGGTGGTCAGGCTCTACTCCCCTCCCAGTCCCAGAAAGAGCTTGTTTCTGCTCACGGCATTTCTCGGAGAGTCTGAAGCTAGACCAGAACTGGGCGAGGTGGAGGACGGGGGCTGGACTGGGTGAGAGGCTTGGTCCCCGCTCCGGCAGGCTTCTGGAGCTCTGCACCCACACATGGCCCTGACCTCTCCAGACCTCTGTGGGACAGTGGCCACCGTCTGTCGGACCTAGGGAGGTGCTCATTGCCCGTGGTGCCTTCTCCCCGTCCAGAAGGTGGGCATTCAAGGGAGGGTTTGCCAAATGAAGTGAAGGCCCCTCCATCTGGGGGCTTGCTCACCCCAGCTGCCTCCCTGTCTCAGCACAGCCCCAATACTGGAAGAGGAGCTGGGGGCGGTGAGACACTTGTGTCTGGCCAGGAAGGGAGCAGAGCTGTGGGCACTCATCCAGGCCAGGAGGTGGCCAGAGCCCTGGAGGTCAGAGGGGTGAAAACAGACCGAGCATGCTCAGTGTGGCCCGGCTGTGCACACAGACCTGGGAGCCGGGAGCCAGGCTGGTCCATGTCCCTGTGACCACTGACTCCCACCATCACAACTGTCTGCCTACAGGCCCCGGTCAGGTGATGCTGAAGATGATGACCTTCTTCCAAGGCCTCCCAGGCCAGCAGACCATGCCAGCAGCCCACGGCTGCCCCAGAACACCTCGAAAATTGCCCTCCATGGCAGAGGTAGAGGCAGAGGCCTCCATGTCAGAGACCTCCTCTGAAGACCTGGTGCCACCCCCGCAGGCCAGGGAGGCCCCGGATAGAGAGAAAGACAAGGCTGCAAAAAGGAAAGAGAAGAAGTCCAGAGGACTGGCCGGCATGTTCAACGTCTTCTCCAAAGGGAAGAAGAAGGGCCAGCCCCGCTCGGCGGAGCCTGAGCCGGAGGCCAGGCCAAGGACGGATGGCCCGCTGCCCACAGGTAGCCGGGAGCCCAGGTGGGGCGGGGCGGGGGCTAGCTGGACAGAGTGAATGAGCCCCTGGCCCAGGAAGGGGGCAGGTGAGACGGTTTGGGGTGCATAGACCTCCCTGCTCTCACCTGTGGCCCCAGGCCTGGGGGACGGGAGGGGAGCCCCCGGGACACGGAGTCATCCTTGGGGTCTCAGCCTGCCCCTCTGCGGGCCTCCCCGAGGTGCCTGGCAGGCAGTGAGTGCGGAAGCCCTGGACGCCGCTGACTGCCGCGGTTTCCGCAACAGTGGAGGAGCTCAAGGACGCCCTGGAGCGCGGGCGGCTGGAGGCTGCGGGGCCGCTGCTGGCGCTGGAGCGGGAGCTGCAGGCGGGGGCGGGGGGGGGGGGGGCGGGGGGGGGGGAGCCAGACAACGCTCTCGGGCGGGATGGGGGGACACGAGCGCCCCCAATCGACTCAGCTCATTCTCCAGGCGCGCGCCGGGCGAACCGCGCGAGCAACACACACGCGCACACGGCCCCATCGCCCGGACGCCGGCCCGAGGCCAGGCGGGACCCTCCCCCGACTCGGGAGGGGGAGGCGCGGGCCACAGTAGGCGAAGAGCG